AATATCATTTTTCAAAAGTTTCTTTTTTTTAAGACAGAGTCTCACTTTGTCACCCCCAGTAGAGTGCTGGGGCATCATAGCTCACAGCAACCTCAAACTCTTGGGCTCAAGCGATCCTGCTGCCTCAGCCTCCCAATTAGCTGGGATTACAGCCCTCACAACACTGGGCTATTTTAGAGATGGGGGTCTCGCTTTGACTCTGGCTGGTCTCAAACTCCGTGAGTTCAGGCAATCTGCCCACCTCGGCCTCCCAGAGTGCTGGGATTATAGGTGTGAGCCACCACACCCAGCTAATTTACCAAAATTGAATCTGAAAGAAACCTTGAATAGCCAACTGACCAATGTTTTTTGGTTGGAATTTTTCAATTAGAAATAGGCAGAGAAAATAAAGGGTGACTGGACTCAATGGTAAGACTGCTCTTCTCATGCACCTAACATACAACCTATTAGCCACAGCCTGGCTCACTGAGTAGGAACATGGACTTGGAAGCCAGGTGACTAGTTTAGATACTAGTTCTACCAGTTACTATGCTGAAGAATTTCAAAGTTACTTTACCTCTCTGTGTATTTGGTTTCCTGGTAAGGAAAGGGGGATGATTAACACCTACATCTTATAAAATTATTGTCAAGATTAAGAGTTAATTGCACAGAATTCAAAACAGTACCTTGCATAAAGTATTCAATAAACACTAGGAATAATTTAATAGGAAGTGACTATTATAAAGAGAAAGATGAGAGGAAGCATTCTGTCTTCAATTATAACTTAAAGTGATTCTTTCTACAGTGCCTCTGAAGATAGTCAAACAGCTTTTTTACAAACGATCTTATATTAATAAAATATTTTTATATATACAAGTTTATATAGTATGTTATTAATTTTAAGAAATTATATTCTGAAGGTTAATAAATACAGTATAACAGATTTAAAGGAACTATATCATATAATGAACATCATTTTAAATACCTTTTGTTATTATAAGGTTTGTTTTCACAGATTTCAGGTGACAAGTAGTATGGAGTCCCTATGCAAGTTCGAGCCAGCTCTATAGTACTAGAACAAAAAGAAAATTATTGGAAGCTTAAGATACAATCATGTGCTACATAATATGGCCAATGACAGACATGCATATAGAACAGCAATACCGTAAGATTATAATGGAGCTGAAATATTCCTCTCATGTACTGACATCATTGCCTCATAATACCATAACACAATTACTTTATTTTAAATAAATTTAGGGTAACCTACGTGTTTAATACTTATAAAATCCACTAATGTTCTTCATTGACTTACCCAGACCAACTTCCAGTCCCATAAGCTCTATTCATTGTAAGTGCCCTATATGGGTGTACCACTTTTTATCCTTCATACCCTATTTTTACTATACTTTTCCTATGTTTAGATACACAAATGTTTACCATTGTTACAATGATAATACTTATAGTATTATAAGTTATTATTAGTTAAACTAAATACTTACAGTATTTGGTACTGTAATATACTGTACATGGTTATAGTGTAGGAGCACTAGGCTATACTATAAAGCCGAGGCAAGTAGTTGGCGATATATACCATTCAGAGTTGTATAAGTTTCTCAGATTTTTGCACAATGAAATCACCTAAGGATGAAAGTATCTTCATTGTTAAGTGACGTATGAATGCACTTAAAGATATCAAAACAAAATTTAAAACTGATAAGTTACCTATTAAGAACTCTAGCAATTCCAAAATCTCCAAGTTGTACTGTTCCATCTTTGGTTAAAAATATGTTCTGTAAAAGACAGGAGAAAAAAACAGTCCAGGTATGAAGCAACAATAGTTTTCACCTAAGTTAATTTAATTAAAATATAATGCCAGAGTGACTGGATGTCCAAATGAAAAAGAATAAATGTGGTTCCCTACCTAAAACCATACACATAAAAATGAACTCAAAATGGATTCTAAGGGCTCGGTGCCTGTGGCTCAAGTGGCTAAGGCGCCAGCTATGTACACCTAAGGCGGAGGGTTCGAATCCAACCTGGGCCCGCCAAACAACAAAGACGGCTGCAACCAAAAAATAGCCAGGCGTTGTGACGGGCACCTATGGTCCCAGCTACTTGGGAGGCTGAGGCAGGAAACTCGCTTGAGCCCAGGAGTTGGAGGTTGCTGTGAACTGTGATGCCATGGTATTCTACCCAGGGGGGATAGCTCGAGGCTCTGTCTCAAAAAAAGAAAAAGAAAAAAGGATTTTAGGGCTCCGCATCTGTAGCTCAGCAGCTAGGGTGCCAGCGACATACATGGGAGCTGGC